AAAAAAGAAAAGAAAAAGAACAGAAATTATGAATGAGGCACTGTCCTGGTGTTCTGGCAATGCCACATTGCCACCTTCTGGTAGCACTGTCGTAATGTAGTCACAAGGCAGCTACAAACTGCCACATTGCCACCTTCTGGTCGCACTGTCGTAATGTAGTCACAAGGCAGCTACAAACTGCCACATTTTACTTTCTGGTCGCACTGTCGTAATGTAGTCACAAGGCAGCTACAAACTGCCACTTTTTTTCTTTTCGACTGAATGCATTACTAAAAATTAAACGCGATAGCAAAGAAATAGGACTCTTTGGGGCCGTTTGGGCATCGCCACACCGCTCTCGAAATGTGCAAAATGAGAATGAACTTCTTCAGAGAACATGGCCAGATGCACCAGCCACATTTGTCCTTTTCACATTTCGAGAGTGGTGTGGGGAGGTCCTTTTCAAGAGGGGAAACGAGCAAACAAAGCCAAGCCCCTACTACTAGGCCCCCTAGGGCCCTTACCTGCCTTCCTCTTCTTTTCATTCCTCAGATTCCTGGATTCCTGCATAGCTGTGTTTCCAGGGACAGTCTGCGACGCGTCACTGCCCCAGTTCAAGCAGGGGGACTGGGCTAGATTACCTGTAACCTGGGCCTAGGTCCCACGTGCACGAATTATGAGATGCTGACCGTAGATAGCAAAGATCAACGGCCGAAATCTGCTCATTTGCGCAGGTGGGACCTTGCCCCTGGTTTTAGGAGTTCGTACTTGTTCTGAGCGAGCCTCTCCTGGTATAAGTTCAGAGTTATCAAACCACTAGAATATAAGTTCAAAGTTATCAAACCACTAGAATATAAGTTCGAAGTTGTCAAACCACTAGAACAATGAGGGTTGATGGCATCGCCGGCCATGAACGCTGTGCGCTCTCTGGGAAGGTAAAATCTCCATGGAGTCTTGATTGCATTTGTGTATATCTTGTGAAGAAGAAAAATGCATGCGGGTGAGATGGGGAACCTAAGCATGATTGTGGGCAGTATGTTTTGGATGGTACTTGAGGCTAGCGAGGCATGTTACTGGACACCATCCGGTACTATATGGTACTGGAACAGTAGTCCTACTTGAGGCTAGCAAGCTTTGGTACTGGATAGCTTAATGGCTTGTCAGTGTCCGCCATCCGGTACCATATGGTACTGGACTGGAACACTAGTGCCAGTACCGTCGCCTCCTATCGCTCAGTAGGTACCGTAAGGTATTGGACAGTACCAGGGCTTGCTAGCATCCAGTACCATATGGTAATGGACAGTACAATGGCTTCCTAGCATCGAGTACCATAGTACGGTACTGGACAGTACCATGGCTTCCTAGCATCCAGTACCATAGTACGCTCCTGGACAGTGCCATGACTTGCGGCCTGTACCCTGGCTGTGGCACTGGACAGTGAAACGTAGGGAGAAACTTTGGGATCCATACCATAGATTATCGAGTCTCTCAATTTCTGAAGTCTGTTTATGCTACTCCATGGCAGCTGCCAGGCTATGTTGTGGTTGTGATTTGAAGTGTGTGCGTAGTCCCAGGGCCTGCATGTTTTACTTTATCCGTGACCCTATTCACTCTAGTATGTCGTACTTTTTGTATATGGCTTACTAGCCGTCCAAGTTCAGCCCCCCGGCAAGGGACTGCAGATCTTACCCTGGAATTGATGTGGTGCCTTTGTATTCACTGTGCACTCGGTGCTCTCTCTCTCTCTCTCTCTCTCTCTCTCTCTCTCTCTCTCTCTCTCTCTCTCTCTCTCTCTCTCTCTCTCTCTCGCTCGCTCGCTCGCTCTCGCTCTGTCTCGCTCTCTCTCTCTTTCTCTCTCCGGGTGGTTAGAGTACACGTCGGTTAGGGGAATGTACAGGTTTCAGCCTCGAGTGACGTGAAATTATGAAGCAGACTGTGACTGACTGACTGACTGTCCCAGTCCTCGTTGCTAGGCCTTTTCTTTTTTTCCTGCATACAGTGCACCGAATAGTGCGTGTTTGGATATGAGATGGGAATTATCATGAATCAATTGTTTTTTGCTTTATGGAGGGCGAGTGTTCCACATGGCATGTCAGCTCTGTTGGTCCATCAGCAGTAGGAATTTGCCAGGAAATGCTCGCACGTGAGAATTGTGTTCTGGTAAAGTGGTCCCAAGTTCCGAAATGTTATTATTAC